GGCTGACAGGAGAGCTTTACTGTGGGTGTGTGGGCAGTAGACAAGGAGCGAATGCCCAACTGGCAGGTTTGGATGCTCCGGATCATCTGCTTCTGTTTCCCTGCTTTGCCAGGGTCTGTTTAGGTCATACGCTGTGGCTTTCTCTGAGCCTTGTCCTAAAATGAGTACAGAGGCTCTGCCCATGAAGGGAGGTGGGAGGAGAGGGCTGGGTTTATTTGTGATGAACAACTTATCTATCTGGAAGGTTCAGTATCAGGAACTATTGTGGCCACTCAGCTGAGTGAATTTAGAGACCCAAACCAGAACACATTCTTCTGGAGGCTGGAGGAACAGACTGGACTAAACATAGAAGCATAAATAATGATGAATACAGGCATGATCAGTCCCATGCGGAAACAGTGGCCTTGGGTCCCTACACCCATGTGAGAGACCTAGAAAACATTTTACTGATTCTAGAGTATTTTCCACTTTTAAAATATTTTCTTTTTTTTTTAAACAAGGATAGTTGTCTCTCACAATTTTCATACTATGGCATCTTCTAATTGCCTCCATTCGATGTAGTTTAAACACTGTTCTCTACTATCTCCATAAACAAGAAATTAGTTCTGCTAATTAATTAGATTGACATTAATTTTTTAAATAAGAACAGGTCATATATTATGTTCATGCTTTGTATTTCCTCACACCAGGAAACAGAAGTTACTGGATCCTCCTTCTTCCCCGGTACCAATTCTGTCGTGGAAATAAGGTCAGGACAGTAGTCCTTCTCAGTTGGAAAGGAACATCCATAACATGAAGCAGAGCAAGAAATTGCCTAGGATACCAGCACTGAGTCCTTCCTGCACTGTTTCCAACCCAGCTTCTTGCTAATGCAACCTTGGAAAGCAGTAGACAATGGCCCAGGCACTACCCCCATGGGAGACACAGATTGGGTTCCAGCCTGGCCCAGCCCTGGTTGTAGGCATTGGAATGCAAACCAGCAATCAGAAATCTGCTCTCCTAATATTGGAGTCTGCATCCAAGGGCATCTCCCAAAGGAATCTTGGAAGCTTTGAATCCTTTGTTTTAATACCGAAGGTTAATAATAAATAAATATCATCCATGAAATTGGCAAAAAAAAAAAAAAGAAAGAAAGAAATCTGCTCTCTTACTTGCTCTTATTCTCTCACTCTTCCAAGGAGATGGGGGAAAATACATAAGCTTTCTTGAAAATAAGGGACTTCTTATACTTTAAGGTGACTAATTTTATGTTTTAAAGAGAATTCTGACAGCTTTAGTAAGAACTATAATATTTTTTAAGTGTTCTTGCTAGATTAGTTCATTGGGGTTGCTATAAAAGAATACACTGGGTGGCTCATAAACAACAAATGTTACTCTCGAAGTTCAGAAGATGGAAAGTACAAGATCAAAGCATTGTAGATACCCTTTCTGGAGTTGTGAGGAATTAGATGGATTAATACACAGTTCAGTTAGCAAAGGCTTATGTGGGAATAAGGAATCAGGCAGTTGTATGAATCTGAAATCAGCTGATTAGACGAAAGATACTGTACCCAAGAAAATGAAAATGTTAATAGGGAATACAATGTTACCCTATGATAAACTAGGTTCTGGCTTCATACCAAAACACACCACAAAGCAGATCTCAAGTATTTCACAGTAGATCAGGTCAGCATAACCTACCTTAACTGGTCACGTCAGCAATGTTTCCTAACTGTCAGAACTCCTAGGTGCTCAGGAACTGTAACTGCTATGCAAGAGACATATGAAAAGACAAAGCAGACCCCTGACATACTAAAAGTATGTAGAAGAATTGGTCAGTTGATATACATTCCCTGCACGAGTCCAATACCCAGACCTTAATGGACTGCTTTCTTGGAGACCCCTTCTGGCAAGTAGGAGTCTTAATAAAACCTACTTCCACCTGGCCTTATTCACTTTCTCCCCTTACTGTCCACATCAAAATTCTTCATGGTCATTAGACGAACAATCAACTCCAACCTTTGAAACAGTAAGGACAAGTTTTCTGGTTCATATATAAAGCCTTTTTGCTAGATCTTCACATGGCACCAAGATTAAAACTTTCACTGGAATCTCTCCATACAAGTGCACAAATACCATCCACCAGATTCCAATCCTCACCATCAAATCAGTTCCCAAGGATACCACTCCTGAAACACAGTTACACTGAAGGCTAGGGTTTCAAATCTATTTTGGAGATGCATGAACGTTCCTTCCACCATGCTTGCTTCCTCGAGATTTTTCCAGTTTTCAGCTTTGCAGTATAATCCATCTAACATAAGGATAGATTAAAGAATTCTGACTCAGAAGCATCATGCCGTCATTTTGATGTGATGATAATTAGATTTAAACATCAGTTAACATTTGACAACACCAGATTGTATGGTTTTAAACAGATGTGGAAAGTGTTTGCCAGCATTTTCAAGAAAACTTAATTGAGTTTCAAAAGGATTTTTGAGGACAAATCATGATTGAATCAGTCTAATTAAAATGACTTGGAATGCAGCAAAGACTTAAGACAAACAAATTATATTGGACAAGCTATGGTAGAATTTTCTATGACTGCAAAAGTCATGAAAATCAGTGACAGACATGTCATGAGATTTTAGAACATATTTAAAGACAATATACAATAGTTTAGACATAGGAAACGCATCTCATTGAATTTCAATGTAAGGTATCATTTTCAAGTATTTCCAATTTTTAGCATGTACAGTCATGCAGTGTTTAGCAGTAGTTATATGTGAAATATGTTGTTGGGAAATTTTGACATTGTATGAACATCACTGAGTGTGTTAATACAAATTAAGACAGCAACATCACAGCTAACACTATCTTACAGGGCCACCATCATCTATGGGGTCCATTACTGATAGAAATGTTTGCAGCACATGACTAGACTCATCTAAATGTAAGGCAGTGTGATAAGGGATATATGTTATGAAATATTTTTGTGTGTCTGTGTTTATTGTGATTATTGCTGTTTTTTTTCTATTTATTTCTGCAACCCCAAGATCCATCTCTTCTGTTTCCAATCTACTATTTATTCAGTGACTTAGCAAAGAATGTGCTTCCATATATTAAGCCCTAGAGGCTAGGTATATAACTCAATAAATAATTGGGTTTTAAGATGGAAGAAAAGCTATTATATAACATACTCTTAACAGTAGCCTTGAAATAATAGAAAAACTAATGCTGTTCTTCATTTTTAAATAAAATCCAACTTGCACTTGCTCTTGTGCAGCCAATAATTTTCTCTACTTCAATCAAAGACTTCCTCTTTGCTGTCTTGTCATAGTCCAGATTGTTTGAACATGTCCTAAATGATTCTTCTGGGGTCTACCTTTGCCTCTGCTCTGTCCCAGACCTATATCTCTTGAGCAAAAATATTTCTAACTTTATTCAATTGTAATTATGCAAATTATATCATTATAACTTCCAGCCTACTTGCTCCTCGGTACTAACACAATGAATACAACATTATTTTGTTTTGAGCTTTCTTTTAAAAAACATTTTATTTATTTATTTATTTGCAATCCACAGCTACAGAGAGGGAGGGATACAGAGAGATCTTCCATCTGCTGATTCTCTCCCCAGATAGCTTCAATGGTCAGAATTAGACAGGCCAAAGCCAGGAGCCAGGAGCTTCCGCTAGGTCTCCTTGTGGGTGGCAGGAGCCCCAATACTTGAGCCATCTTCTGCTATATTTCCCAGGCCATTGGCAGGGAATTGAATTGGAAGTGGAGCAGCTGAGATACAAACTGGTGCCCACATGGGTTGCCAGCACCACAGGACATGACTTAACCCACTGTGTCACAGCACAAGTGACATAAACTTTCCTCTTTTCATCTTTTATCTTGCATGTAGGACAATATTGGCATTTTTTAAACTGAGGTAAAATAAACACCAAAAAATATATCATCTTAGCCATTTTAAAATATATAATTTAATAATGTTAATATTTATAATTATACATTTCATCACACATAACATCCCACAAATACATACACACTTCATGTAGTAATCAAAAAATAAAAATACATATTTTAAAAGACAGTATGCTGTGATGTGACCAATGTCTAGAAAATCTTACCTTACTGAATTCTACACCCCTTGAACAAATCATCATATCCCCTTTCACTAGCTCCTGAGGAAAATGTTGATTTTTAAATTATATGTGGGGGCTGGCACAGTAGTACAGTAAGCTAATCCTCCACTTATGGTGCCAGCATCCCATATGGGCATTGGTTTTTGTTCCCGCTTCTGATCCAGCTCCCTGCTTATGGTCTTGGAAAGCACAGGGAGTAGGGCCTTTGGGTTCCTGCACCCATTTGGGAGACCCGAGAGGAGCTCTTGGCTCCTGACTTGGCATCAGCTCAGCTCTATCTATTGCCACCACTTGGGAAGTGAACTAGCAGATGCAAAATTTCTCTGTCTCTCCTTCTCTCTAGAATCTGTTTTTCAATTTAAAAAAACCTCAAATTATGTATGTAAGTATATCATACTAAGTGTGAATTTCATTTCAGGAGAGTAAAACAAATTTTTCAAAATATTTATTTTGGAAAAACAAAAGACCTTTAGGCCTAACAGGCTCAAAATCACCACCCTAAGCGCCGTGAAGGAAGAACATTTTATCTATTGTGTTATTTCCAGAACTAGTCACTGTACAACAAAAAAAACCAAATGAGTAATTATTGAAAGAATGAGTGACTGATATGTAAAGCAAGAGAAACTAGTCAGAAAGGATTCACATGATACTAGTTAATGAAATGTCCAGACGAGGCAATCTATGGAGATAGAAGGTAGCTTACTGCTTTTGATTTGCCTCCTCAGCTGCAGCTAGGAGGATGCTCAGATTCCAACAGGGCATGCTGGCCTCTGGTGTCCTCTACTTCACGAGAAGAAGGCTTAGCTGGAACTCAATTAAACCAATGGAATTACCAATGCCAACTCCTGTCAGCAGATCTAAAAGCTGATCAAGGATGGCAAATCATTGGAAAGCCTGTGAGTGTTCACCCCTGAGCTTAATGACCAGAAAAACACCTTGGCATGCCAGAGGGGCAGGTATCCAGGTATAGGTGAGTGAAAGGATACAGCCAGTGGTCCAATGCCAATAAAGGTAACCTGGATGAGGAGGATATTAATTGTGTCATCTGCTCAGAAGATATCTTGACTCTAAGATGGAACGTCATGTGTATCGCTGTCTATACTTGCAGGTGAAGAGAAGTGTGGACGAAAACATGCAGAATCTCGTGGCACACCTGCACAAATGGAAGCTCCTGGCAGATTAGACCTAGGCTCACAGGCCTCAGACCAAAAAGCACACCAGCATCATGCAGAATGCCTCCAAGCCAAGGAGGAAGAGATCTATAACACCTTGTCCAAGGATGAAGAGACAGAAAGCTCCCTCGCTGTTATTTGTATATCATGGCCTTTGTGATTGCAGGGGATCAGGCATCAAAGTAAACCAAGTTTTCATTTGCCCAAAAATATAGACATAGGGGAGAAGGAGTGAAAGAAAAAATGAGGAGCTTATGAAAATTTCTAAAATTAGATTATGCTGATGGTTACATGTCTCTTTAAATATATTAAAATACTAAAAATGGGTGAATGTTATAGCAAGTATGTCATATCTTGTTAAGATTTTCAAAATCATTGACAGACTGAAAAAATCCTAGTAACTGTAGTCCTGATCCTTGACAAGTTATCTAGAACTTTTACCTCAGCTCATTAGGATGTGATACTTTCATCTCATTTTTGGTGATGTCTCAGTGCTCAGCTCCAGGACTGGCAGCGATTTGCTGTCATTGCTAGACAATTTTCTTAGGTAAATCTCTTTCAAGTCTTCTATCATGAAGCTAACAAGCACTCTGAGACCAGTCCCAGCTCCAACCATCTTCCTACTAAAATCAAGGGCCGTGCAAGTTCTCAAGTCTGGCATCAGGGCATAGCCGAATGGATCACTCATTCTATCCCCATCACACTCCTCTTAAAGAACAAGACAATGTTCTCTCATCAACACCAGAAAGTCAAACACAACATGAGAGTAACCCTCGATAAATAAATTTCTCAGTCATAGAGTCCCATTCCATATCACTCTCATTACTTGTTCTTATTATTTTTTAAAAAAATTTTATTTTTACTTCAAAGATTTACAAAGAGAAGGAGAAACAAAAAGAGAAAGTCATCTTCCATCTGCTGGTTCATTCTCCAAATGGCTGCAATGGCCAGAGCTGGGTCATTTCAAAGAAAGAGACTTCTTCCAGGTCTCACACATAGGTGTAATGGCCCAAGGGTTTGGACCATCTTCTGCTGCCTTCCCAGTCCATATGCAGAGAGAGGGATCTGAAATGGAGCAGCCAGGGTATGAAGTAATGCCCATTTGGGATTTTGGTGCCACAGGCTGAAGATTAACCTGTTGTGCTATATTACATATAGAACTAACAGAGAGACAGCTGAGGACTTTCCTAGGAATGGCAGGTTTCTACAGGATCACTATTTCATGTTTTGAGTTAATACCAAGGCCTAAAATGGTCCTTTCAGTGATCCACTTAAATGCTTAGGAGAGCAATGTGAGGCTTCCCAGAGATTGTGGACCTAATAAAACAGGTTCCTGAACCAGCAATATCTATTCAAGACAAGTCTTCACTCTGTAGCAGAGAGACAGAGGATAGCCCTTGGTGTACTCAGTCAGAAAAGGATCTACTTTCACAACTAGTGACCTAATTTCCTAAGCATTTGAATTCAGTGGCCACAGGTTGACCTACATGCATTGTGACCAAAGTTCATTTGTTGGAGGAAACCACAAAATTGACTCTACAACCCCTGAAATTTCAAACTCCACACAAAGAACAAATAATCCTAGACATTTCAGGTCTCTCTTTAAAATCATCTTTATAGCAATTCCTCCATGTAGCTAGTCTGTTGTCACATGAAATACTAAAAAGCTAAAAGATCGCGTGTAGATATCAAAGAACAGATCTATTCCTACAAGCTTGATTTACAAGATAAGCATATCATTTACAAGATGTTGAATCAGTCACTGATGGCAGTGGTTTCATGAATGAAGGAGTTAGAAAGGCAAGATATGAGGCCAGGTATGAAGGCTCAGTGGCTAAATCCTTGCCTTTCATGAACTGTGATTCCATTGTGTTCTGGTTCATATCCCAGCTGCTCCACTTCCCATCCAACTCCTTGCAGGTGGCCTTGGAAGGCAGTGGAGGATGACCTAGAAGAGTCCTGCCTTCAGATCAGCTGAGCTCTGGTCATTGCAGTTACTTAGGGAGTGAATCAGCAGATGGAAGATCTTTCTCTCTGTTTGTTTATAAATCTGCCTTTCCAAGAAAAACAAATAAGTCTTTAAAAAAATGAGGCAATATATGTCATATATGTCTTACTCAAGTCATAAAAATCTATGCATTGTCACCCAATACTTTTTCCCAAAAACTAAACTAATGGCTTTGAATACAGCCTGTTAATTGGTAACAGGTCAAAGAGTTATTATTTATATAAACTCCAAACATGCTTTCATTGTGCTGCATGCACATGTAGCAATTTGGAAAGAAGAAAGCTAGGAAATGCATTAAAATATCTAGCATTTAAAACAAAAAGAGATTTTTACTCTTCTCCAGGAAGTTTTGCATCCTCTGAATGTAGCTGTTTTCCAATGCAAGAAAAACAAAAGCTAAAAAAAAACCACATCATCAAAGGAAATACACCGCAGATACAAGACAGTAAAGAAGAAATAATGGTTCCCATACCATAGAACCTCTCCCTCCTCAAAGATATATGATCTGTCTCTCTCTCCTTCCCTCTCTCTCTCTCTCTCTCTCTCTCTCTCTCTCTCTCTCTTTCTATCCCACTCATGCTGAGCATCTCTTTATGGTGTTGCCCACTTTCAAAACATGAAAAAAAATGAATATGTACTCATTCACCCTTTAAATCAATCTTGCTCCTGTTTTTTTGGACTTAACTTATGCCCCTACTTTAAATTCTTATTTTATCATGCAAAAGCAAAACCCTTGAATAAAGCAACTGCGAAATATATTCCCACAATGCTTTGTAACAAATAATTAATGTTTGGCTTTATTAGTTCCCACTTTCCCTATCTCCTCCACAATTCCTAATCAGAGATATCTGAATCTGTGTCTCCCAGATTGAAATCCTTAAAACCACAAATGTACTTTTACTTTCATAATGTTATAATATTTTTTACCAAAGGACCCAAATTAGGTGTGTCTCCCACATATGTTATTAACCATCGCAATAAAGCTGTTACCTAGCAGAAAACTATTTGATGATTACTCTTCTTTTTCTCCCTCTTTTGGGAAAATTCAGTACTTCTGTTAGTGACACTTGCTTAATAATCATGACAGTTTAGTTTTTCTGGGAAATTTCATTAATATCTCAAGTTGTGATTCAAACTCAAGGGCATTATTGTTATTTTTGCAGAATATATGACCCTGGAATGATCATATTTTGCCTTTTCTTGACAAACAATTTTTTTAAAAATCCACAATGAGTTACATGAATAATGTAGATGGTAAAAAACATGCTTCTTTGCCTTCCTTTAAAAAACGACTTCCAATTATGATTCTCTGTTTTTATAATTTATTTGCATAATTTACTGATTAATTCAACATTCTTTCAAGAAAATCCTATTCCATGGACTGCACTACTAATAGTCTAGGCAGTTTTCAAAACTCTCAAAGGACAGAAATTAAACCCAAATTTGAGGAGGACTGTAGGTAGAAGAATAGATCTAATAGATTTTCACCAACTGACAATAAAATTAAATCTTTGCTAAAAGCAAATCAGGCTCATACTAGCAAACCTAAGATAACCTCATGTGGAAGCTGGTAAAGATTGTCCATGATTTAAGAAAAAGTTTCAACTGAAGTAAAAATGAAATAAATATATTGATATAAAGGTGTTCATAAAATTCTGGATAGTTTTGTTCAAGAAGATATAGCCTATTGACCTCTATTCATTGCATCCTGAGCATTTAAGAGAACAATATAAATTAAGACTATGAGCTGAGGCCCCATCAGTAGCTGGGCACCCAAGGGCTTACTGCATCTATCAGAATTTGGCATGACCAAGAGTGTGGACACGTGAGTATTCACACCCAAAACTTAGACATTTCCATGAAATTAGTGGTTCCCAGGCTTAACCGGTGAGGACTTTGATGAAAATGGAGAGTGCAAAATATTTTTAACATATTATTATTGCATCCAAATTTAATATTATACCATCTACTGCCCTCCATAACTGTGTATGATAAAGACTTTACAGGTACAATGATGGTGCTGATAAAAACCTACACTGATGGGATTGAGAGTATGTTGGTGGTAAATGGCTCACCAACTGAAATAACAGCATCATAATAATACCGTATTTGTATTTTCCCACATAAAAAGGGGGTAAGGCTAAATGAAAAAGAAGCTATAAGTTATGAACATTTTATATATGTATATATTTATATAACCATAGAGAAGCAAGCTAAGTGGCACAAGTCATGACTATTTAAGTTAAGATAATACCTACTCTTCTTCCTATTGTCTCGCTTTTCTGAATGTGCTCCCCAGTGTTAGAACAACTGTTTACCACCTACACTCAGGTGCCAGGCACCAGGGCATCAGTGTGCTTCCAAACTGGTTCTGCAACTGAAAACGCAATTCTCACTTTTAGTTTATATAACCATAAAAGAGAAGTTAAATGTGAAAAGAAAGATTGGTAAGTTTCTTCGGAGAGATTTGCAAGTGAATTGTGCCTCACTTGCTAAAAACCAGTTGACTTCTATTAGTGATTCATGAATCAGGCAGACTCTCATCTAAATATTTAGACAGGTGCTTCATTAAGCATGGCAGAAAAGTTCATTTTTGTAAAGTAGCTTAAGCAGGAACAAAAAGCATAATACAAAGAAAACCAAATTCATTATCTTCAGGTTGCTTTCTTTCTTTGAGATTTATTTTCTTTATTTGAAAGGCAGATTTGGGGGGTGGGGAGAGTGGATAAAATTCTTCTATCTGCTAGTTCAGTCCAAGATCGCCACAAAGACCAGGGCTGGGAGCCAAGAGCTTCCTCTGGGTCTCCCATGTGGCGGGTTGGGAAACAAGCATTTAGGCCATCTTTCACTGCTTTCCCAGGCACATCAGCAAGAAGCTGAATCAGAAGTAGAGTGGTCAGGATAGGAACTGGCACCCACAGGGATGCCTGTGCTATAGGTAGTAGCTTAACACATTATACCACAGTGCCAGCCCCCAAGGAACTTCCTCACTCTGCCCTCTAGAACCAGCCTGTTCAGGGATGTAGTGGTTATTTTTCTCCTGATTTCTTGGAAAGTTGGATAAATTACTTTCAGTTCAATAATCCAGAACTCTTGGGGCCATATGAAAGAGTTCCAATCAAATCGATGTCTTCCATAAATCTGATGCAATAACATCCTCAATTTTCAAGATAAATGAGTAGGACTTAAAAATAACATGTCCAATAACTTGCACACATACACCCTATAGCTTTTGGGATGACAAGGACTATTGCCTGAATCTATCTGAAATAATATCTGAAAACATGTTACTGGCCAAAACAGTCTTATAAGGGGCTACTGCTGTGGTGTAGTGGATTAAGCAGCTGCCTGAAAAGCTGGCATCCCAAATGGCAACTGGTTTGTGTCTTGGATGTTCCATTTCTGATCCATCTCATCACAAATGCATCTGAGAAAGCAGCAGATGATGGCAAAAGCACTTGGATCTTTGCACCCATGAGGAAATCCAGATGGAGTTTCAGGCTCCAGGTTTTGTCTCGGCCCAATCCTGATCACTGCACATTTGGGGGCAGTAAATTCACAAATCAAAGATATTTCTCTCTCTCTCATACTATCTAAATCTAATTTGAAATATATGTGCATATTTCAAATAAATATATATTTCAAATATAGATACAGATATAGATTTTGTTAAAGGTTTAAAATGGCATGAAGAACAGTAGCCACAGAAGCTTCCTAGCCATCACACCCATAGTAGGACAAGATAGCTGGGCTTGAGTTACCCAAAAAGGGTTTTACCTTCCAAGAGGACCTTGGACCAGGGTATTGTGATCTACCAGCAGGAAATGCTAAATAAAAGCTCTCGTCTAAATGAGGGGGAAAGAACTCACAGAAGTACCCAGAAGTTAAATCAGTGTCAGGGCATCCGTCACCTGCCAGGTCCTAAGTTCAAACAGCAGCTCTCAGCATGTCCCACTGTGCTTTTCAGCTTTATCGCCTGCTCTCCCTGTGCTTGACCTGGAGGGGCCGAAACTGAAGCTGATTCCCAGTCCCTAACACCTTTGATGGAGACGTTTTCAGGCTTCAGTATCTCTGCCTTAATTTGTCTTTCCTCTATAAAAACTGACTCAATAAATTAAAGGAGTGACAGCTGGATAAAACCAAGGACAAGAGCTTAGATCTCAAGGCCTCAAACTGGCCCTACAGTTTCTAATCGTTTTAAATTATTTATATGTTTAAAGCAAACAGAAGAGAAAGAGAGGATTTCTACCCAATATTTCATTCCCCAAAGGACCACCACAGCCAGGACTGCACCAGGCAGAAGCCAGGACCCTGGAACTCCACCATGGCCCCCACATCTGTGGCAGGGGTCCAAGAACTTGGACCTTTGTCCACAATCTTCCCCAGTGCAGCAGCAGGACGCTAGATCAGAAGCAGAGCAGCCAGGACTGGGACAAGCACTCTAACATGGGGCACCAGTGCCACAGTGGGCGCCTGACTGGCTGTGCCGCAACATCAGCCTGTTAGTCTCTATTCTGCGCAATGTTTGGCCTGCCTTTACTCTCTGCTTCCTAGCTTACCATGTAAGTGTTCCTTTGCACCAGCTCCACCAGTATGACGGGGCTGAATCTGAAGTAGCCAACACTTCTCTTGACCCTCTGATATGGCATGCTGGCACTGCATGTGGCAGCTCAACGTGCCACCAGCCCTCATAATGTTCATAGCTATGTACACCCCAACACCTTTGCATGAATAGATTGCTCATTAATTGAACACTTGCTGCTTATCTTTCATTTTGGTCAAACGGGAAACACTATAAGACGACAGGCAGTATCTCCTTCACACTTTTGTTTCAGACAAGGCAGGATGTTTCCCACCGACAAGCCCTGCCTGGGCCCACGTTCAGCATTGGAAGGCAGTGGCCGATGGCCCGAGTCCTTGGGGGCTTCAGGCAGCTCGGCTCCAGCCTGCTGGAGTCCCAGCTGCTGGCCTCATTTGGAAGAGTGAACCAGCAGATGCGCACAACCCTACAGCTGTTTCTCCCCCTTTTTGCTGACAATCCACCTTTGAAATAAATACTGGACTTCCAAAAAAATCAAACACATTTTCAGGAGTAAAATCATCCATCCATCAAGGAATCCTATACAACGTGGTGGAAGGCCTGGCCCACTCCTTTTCTACTTTATTCTTCTCTAACAGGCCACCACTGTCTCATTTGCTTCTCAAATGAGCAAACCAGTGGTGCCAGGTTGTGACAGCCTCACAGCACCCATTTAGGTAGGCGGTGAGGGGACAAACATCTTTATAACTAGCATCCTAATGCCAAAGATCGTTAAGTACAATCTTGACTCTCACCGTGGAATCCCAGTAGGACTGAATGCTTTGAAACGTTCTAGATTTTACAGGAGGATCACCCCTTTCGGCCGACTCGCCGCAAAGCCACCTGGGTAGCGGCCGCGGCTGGCGGAGCCGCACATGCGCAGTCTGTCGCCGCTCAGCCCCGCCCTCGGATCCGGGAGAACGAGCGACGCTCCTCCCCGGGGCCTCTGCCGCGCAGGCGCATTGGCGCCGAGCTGCCTCTGGGTCCGGAGCCCGCGGTTTGCGAAGTGGCGCCGGGCCGGGCAGGTGCATCCAGCACGGGGTCGCGGACCCCAAGGGAGACAGCAGCACGGAGGTGCCGACTGTGGCCGAGGGGCCGGGGGCCGCTGGCGGCGTGCCCCTGCCGGGGGCTCCCGGCCCCGCGGCGGCCCCGGCCTCACAGTTCACCCTGCTGGTGATGCAGCCGTACGGGGGCCAGGACGAGGCCGGGTCCGAGGGCGTGCCGAGGCCCACCCAGGCCCCTGGCGGCAAGCCTGTGAGGTACCTGTGTGAGGTCGCGGGGGATGCGGACGAGGAGGTGGGGGAGGACGAGGCGGACCTGCTGGACACGTCGGACCCCCCCGGGGGAGGCGAGAGCACAGCCAGCTTGGAGGATCTGGAGGATGAGGAGGCCCACTCGGGGGGCGAGGGCGGCGGCGGGGCCGGCCGGAGGCGGGGCAGCGGCGGGGCCGGCGCGAGCAAGACCTGCACCTACGAGGGCTGCAGCGAGACGACGAGCCAGGTGGCCAAGCAGCGCAAGCCGTGGATGTGCAAGAAGCACCGCAACAAGATGTACAAGGACAAGTACAAAAAGAAGAAGAGTGACCAGGCCTTGAACTGTGGCGGGGCCGCCTCGGCCGGCAGCTCGGGAAACGTCAAACTAGAGGTATGTGGGACCTTGTCGGGGCTTTAAGGGGGGAGAGAAGGGGTCGAGGAAACCGTACTTGCTGCTGCAAGCTGCTCGGGCCTGCCACCTGCTGCTCCCTGAGTGCCAGGTGGCCCTGGCAGGGCTGGCAGCCCAGAGGGAGTGCCTGTCCAGGGGACCGACTGTACCGTGTTGCATGCTGGTGATAGGTTAATGAATATGGGCTGGGGAGATAGCTGGAGGGTGATTTATCTGAGTGATGGCTGAGTAGTTTATATATGTATAAATGTATATATGTATAAGAATATATATAAGAATATATATATATTTAGTTTATATATATATATATATATAAGAATAGTTGGATAGAGGTAAAAATAGTGTCCTGGTTTTGGGAGAATTGGCATGTTTCAGTTGACCAGATAGAACAGTATTTTGTTCAGGAAAATTGTGTTTCTCATGTGATCAGCAGCTAGAATACCTGGAAGTTAGTGCTACTGATAATGTTTAAGAAACTGATGATGTCTCAAGGTAATGGAGTCATGTTAGGACTGAGTAGTTTTTCATTATCAGTGGCAGGAGATGGCATCATTTTTTTCTCAATAACTTCCAAATTCTGAAAGGTTCCTTTACCAATTGCATCTTTCAGCAGCATTTTGTCCCCCTCCCCCCTTCATCTTTTCCTTTAATCAGGCACAGAACTGTCAGTGTCTCATCTGCAATATGCAAATCACCTCTGAGTTCATCTGTTACAAGTAAACGCACACAGACTCTTTAAAATTCTGGCCTGAAGAGAATTCCACTTGGTACTTTTTGAAATATTGAAACAAGCTAACAAGAAACTTTTTCTGCCTCTCTGACCCACCTGTATCTCTCTATAGATTTTGAAATCCCTCTGAAGAACCCAGATCAAACATGCTGGAGGGAGAGAGAAGGACGATTGCTAAATAAAATCAGGTTCGGACACCTGGCCTGCGTGTTCACAGGGGGTTTTCCCAGTCTCACAGTGGCTGGGCAGGTGGAAGAGCAGACCAGACCTACTAGTTGAAATGCCTACAATTGGAGATTGTTTTGTTAACTGCTAATCTCATTCACCCCAGGAAAGTGCAGATAACCTGCTCTCCATGGTTAAGCAAAGAACTGGATCTTTTGGAGATCGTCCTGCAAGACCTACTCTTTTAGAACAAGTGCTCAATCAGAAAAGACTGGTAAATATCTGTCAATGGATGTTATAGATGTTATATAGATGTTCTAATTATAGATGTCCTGATTGTAAATGAAATTATTTAGATTTTTGAGATTCTAAACACACCGTGGAGCTTCTTAGGTGCTCCCAGCCTGGGAGAGCAGGGGTGTTTTAAGTTCTGTTGGTGAAACCTTGAATGTGTGAGTAGGACAGAATTTGAAAACACAGCTCCTTGTGCCAACTTCTAAAGCCTATGGTATAATGTCTTAATAGAGCCAAGGAGTAATTAGACCAACATTTAGTAGAAATTGCTATTGTAAGTTTGATGGAAGATTACCGCACCTCAGTCAGGAAAGAAAAGGTTTTTCAGTAAATACTAGAGTAATCAGATAATAATTTGAGGATAGAAATGTATTTACTCACATCACATTATTGGTCAGAATTAGTCCTGGGCAGTCTTACTATTCAAACAAGGCAGAATTCAGTCTCTACTGAATCACAAAGGTAAGAACTTTGAGTACATAAAAACAAATGCTGTAGACAGAAAAGGTGGCAAAAATCAAAAGGCAAGATAAGATACAGGAAAAATACTTGTAACAAATATAAAGGATTATGATTGCTTATAGTTGATGTTTTGTTAAATAAAATATTCCTATAATAAAAAAAAACCTTGGCATCAAACATAAACAGAAAAATTAAAAAATTCTATCACTGAGTCATATGGAAATATTCGGTGTCAGGTGAGTGAAGGTGACTTCCGTGGTGATGGCCACGCAGCTCGTGGCATCGTGTGTGTTGGGACAGTGCCTGTGGAGAACAGCTGGACAGTATTACCAAGTCTTTAAATAGTCTCTTCTTTTGGCTCAGAAATCAAGCCTCGTGTGAAAACACTTGCAGAAAATTAATCCTAAATATGGAGACAGTCTCCACTGGAAAGTTATTGCCAGAAGCATATTTATCAGAGATGGGCAAAATAGTTGGAAGAATTTAAATGTCCAACAGCCTCACCATAGCTAAATAGTTACTTACTGAGATGTTGGGTAGACTTCATACATTTTTAAATCAAACTAATAGGAAATAAGTGTGTATGAAATAATGCACACTATATAGTACAGGAAATTTTAAAATCAATATTTAATGATAATGTATCTGCTTTGTTCCACCTATCTTTTTCAATTCTGGGGGATCTTCTTGCTTTAGGAATTTATATAAACATATTTCTTAAGGATTTATGTATTTTCATCTGAAAGGAGAATTTGCCTAGAGGAGAGACAGAATGCTCTTCCATCTGATATTTCATTCCTGAATTGCCACAACATCCAGAACTGAGCCAACCTGAAGCTAGGTGCTTCTTTCAGGTTTCCCACATGGGTACCAGGCCTCAAGGGCTTGAGCCATCCTCCACTGCTTTCCTAGGCGGTAAGCAGAGAGCTGGATCAGAAGTGGAGCAGTTGGGACACAAACAGGTGCCCATATGGGATGCCGGCTCTTCTAGGTAGAGGATTTACCTATTGAGCCACAATGCCAGCCAGTATATTTCAATAGAACCATAGGAACCATCTTTTATTTATTTGCTATGTGATTGTTATAATGTTTAAAAGTGCTAACTACACAAAATATATTATTTGGGAGCATTTGTATTTCTATTCTGAAATTTTTCATTTAATGCCAATACTGTTTAATTTCTGCATTTATACACACATACCAGTACATACACTTACATTCATTCATATAATTTCTTCATGAGACTTAGTGAATTAATGGGAAAAACATGAATTCTAGTATTAGTTTATATGTTTGCACACTAGTGTTTAACTGTTATTTTCACAAGTTGCCCCTATTTTCCTTGCTGAAATCTTAATCCAGTCTTATACATGGCTATTTGCCCCTGTATATTTCAAGATAATATATTCCTCAGCATTTTTTTTTACAGATTTATTTATTTTTATTGGAAAGGCAGATACACAGAGAGGAGGAGAGAGAGAAAGAAAGATCTTCTGTCCAATGATTCACTCTCCAAGTGGCCGCAACAGCTGGAGCTGAGCCAATCTGAAGCCAGGAGCCAGGAGCTTCCTCCAGGCCTCCCTCGCGGGTACAGGGTCCTAAAGCTTTGGGCCATCCTCGACTGCATTCCCAGGCCACAAGCAGGGAGCTGGATGGGAAGTGGGGCCACCGGGATTAGAACCAGCGCCCTTATGGGATCCTGGTGCATTCAAGATGAGGACTTTAACCTTCATGCTGTCGTGCCAGGCCCTTCCCCAGCATTTTAAAACATTTTAAAATCTGGTAACCTGAGGCTTCACCCACTACTTTTAGGTCTTTGTGTTTTTGCCACATGACAACAAATTTAAAATTAGTTTTGAAGCTTCATTAAGAGTATATCAATACAAGTGTGAATTTGATTCAGGTACGTGTTGTCTGGTACTCATTCTCTGTGAGTTATGCATGAATTAATTGTGTAGTGTGAATGCAGTCTTATCACATAAGAATGTTAATAATTTTTTCTTCTTCCTTTTGAAGTCATTACTGAGAAGTCCAGAAGTGGTGCAGTTCTTACAGACACAGCAGCAACTGTTAAACCAACAAGTCTTGGAGCAAAGACAGCAGCAGTTCCCAGGGGCAGCAGTGTGAGCGGACTTGCCAAGAACAGTCACATACTGGTGTTTTTTTTTTTTTTTATCATATTATAACAGATAAGCATATTTTTGTACTAAAGGTTAATGTAAGACATGCCGGTAGAACTTAAGCATTTTTTGGATAAATGTATGTGTGCATTCGGGGATAAATAAGTGTTGTCCTCTGGGTATCCTTTCGAATCACCTTAAGCTTAAAAAAGTTGGCTTGTCTTTCCAAAGTAATCTTTAATTACAGTGGCTTTTAAAATACATTCTTCTTCAGTTGTTGTTGAAGATAATGAAGCAGTTACTTTCTGTGGAAGTTGTGAAGTTAATATATAATAATCCAGAATCATCCAGCTCAGTGACTCTCATCAAGAGTAACTTGGGAGTGTTTAGGTATGGGTTATAGCTGTCAAAATGACCTTGAAGCTTGCTGGAGGGTGGTGGTCGACTCAAGGGGCAGTTTAATGTGTGGCACAAGAAAATTAAATGTTCAGCAGTGTCTGGTTTAGAGACTAAAAATTATTTCACCCACAATGCCAGCAATGCCCCTCTTAAAACACTGCTAGCCACCGGAGGTGCTGACGTGCAGTTGAGACATCTAGAGTTGGGTTCTCACTCCGCCTTGCTCTGCAGTCGGTGCTGGAGCTCTCGCGAGGTGGCGTATGCTGTGCCTCTCCTAAGGAAAGTGACAGTGTGTGTATCTTAAATCAGTGATGTTCAGTGATCAGGAGAATGTCTTAGTAGAATAAATACATCTATAAAATCGGCTTGTCGGTTTCTTGCTACCTTCCGGTGTTCGCTGTCCGAAGCAAACACTCCTCTGTGGTAACTGGTTAACAGGAGACTTGTATCTCAGCCCATCAATGCCAGGGCAAAATGATTTCTCTTGTATTCATCTTCTCTTAAGGAAAAAAATGGGTCCTGCAAGTAACAATTACACTCTAGCTTTGTTTCTGTATTTTTTTTTTTCAAATTGATCTATTTTACAACTGTATTGTTCCTACGTACTGTTCAAAGAAGGAGGATACTCTGGATAGGTAGTTGTATTTTCTTGTATTTTCTCCTAGGAAAACTTTAAAATGGCAAACCTGCTTGCTAATAAAGACTTGTTACTAACAAAGAGTAACAAGTCAAATGTTAAAAGAGTTTATTCCAGTATTACGATAGTAAATGTGTGTCAAGATGAACTGTGCAAAAATTTGTGAGTTCCTTGGCTTTTAGGCTCTAAAATATATATCACATTTGAAAATCAGTCATAATTTCTAAGAAATACTTCTGGAGAGAATGTTTTTGTTCCGTTTTAAAATATGTTTTATACTCACATATCCGTGCATAAATAATTTGATCAAGTTTTTCATTAAAGTCCATTTTTGTTGACCTCTAGATTGTCTAATTCTTTTTTAAAGATCTATTTCTTTTTATCACAAAGTCAGATAATCAGAGAGGAGGAGAGACAGGAAGATCTCTAGTCCGTTGATTGGCTCCCCAAGCGGCCACAACAGCCTGAGCTGAGCCAATCCGAAGCCAGGAGCACAGAGCCTCCCCTAGGTCTCCCAGGTGGGTGCAAGGTCCAAAGACCCTGGGCCATCTTTAACCACCTTCCCAGTCCACAAGCAGGAAGTTGGATGTAAACCGGGATTAGAACCAGCACCCATATGGGATCCCGGCGCATTTAAGGCGAGGACCTCAGCCACTAGGCTACTGCACTGGGCCCTACCCTACAAATTCTTCAGGCCAGGTGTCCCATAAAGATCTGGATTTTATTTGGGGCTAAGGCTGCTCTACTAAAATGTAGAAGTGATGCTGTGCCAATTCATTTGAAACTAAAGGATGTGTTAAGTACAGATAAAACATGTAGCAAGTTGGAAAAGAAAACTTATAGGTACAGGATGTGGTAAGGGGCTTCAGAATAAAAGTTAGAAGGATACATTCAGGTGGAATAGCTTTTTTCTTCTTTCATAGTAGAATTTCAGTGGAAGACAGAGCCACACAAAGAGCTAATTTTACATAATTCTATGCCAAAGAATCACATTATAAATGGTGTGTGATTGTGTTTATATGAAGAAGTAAAGCAGGTGAAATAATGCTTTCAGGACACAGAAGAGTGGCTGCCCTGGGAAGGAGGTGGCAAAGCTCAGAAAGGGCGCAAGGAGGGGTGGGCATCCTGGAGATGCTCATTGCACTTGCTGGTTGTGCAGGCACATTCTGCTAATCAAAGTTCAGCAAGCTGGGCATTTATAATTTTTATGTGTCCTAGTACGTATCTCGTACTTGAATTCTTTGAATCATTTTTTCAAAGACTCTCTCAGCTACCATCTAGATCTGTCATCTGAATAAACTGTAGCTAATAGGATGTGAAAGGAAATGATTGTAAAACTTCCAGATAGAGCCTTTAAAAAAAGGAGTTGTTAAATTGCTATTTGGGATGCAACATCCCATTTCTTTTTTTATTTTCATTGGAAAGACAGATTTACAGAGAGAAGGGGAGATGGAAATAAAGAGCTTGCATGTGCTGTTTCACTTCTCAGGTGGCCACAACAGCCAGAGCTGAGTTGATCAGGAGCCAGAGCTTCTTCCACGTTTCCCACCCGCGTGCACGGTCCCAAGCACTTGCTTTCCCAGGCCAAAAGCATGGAGACAGATGAAAAGTAGAGCAGCTGGGACACAAACCAGCATCCGTGAGATCCTGACGCTTGACGGGGGAGGATTAGCCAACTGAGCTATTCACTGGGTCTGCCACAGACCTGCCATATTCCATTTCAAAGTGAAAATAACTCTTATAGCACTTTTTAAAACAGAGCCAGGAACCCATTTCTCCTCATCTTCTATCTTGCAACCTGCAATGTCAACAAAGCAAGATTACCCCTGCGCCAGTGCAGGCCATTCGCTGGTGAAGAGGGGACAAGGTGGAGGGAACCTGTGTCCCTGGATGGCTGCAAGGAGCAGAGCTACTACACAGCCTAGCCTGAAATGCCCTGTTATTGGGCTGGGAGAAGAGAAATGCATTGTTTCTGCAATGCTTATGATGTCTACCATGGTAATTCTTACAGCCAGCCAATTGTCTTTCCTAAGTGATATTAAAGGTAAAATGATTGACAAGTAACATTAAAGACTTGGCCTACTGGAAGCCAGGAATTTGTCATGGTGGTTTGCAGTCGTTTGACATAACTTCACTGGGCTCAGTCAACAAGAGAAGTAGGAAAAGTAAATTACAGGTTTGAGGTAGGGTTCCTTTAGTATAAGAAGCGGATGAAGAGATGTTTTTCAAAGAGCACTTTCCATAGTGGAAAATAAGTTCAGGCTGACTAGAGAAGAAATGAAGCAAACAGAGGTTCCAAATGCCTGCGACACTGCTGTCAAAATGCAGGGTGAATGAGAGAGCAGGAAGCCAGTACACTAAGGACTCGAAGAAGTCAGCAGGACGATACATTACAACGAATCAGTGACTGCTCCAATTTTTATTAGGTTTTATAACAAAACATGTTAAAAACTCAGAAGACATGAAACTACTTGGGGCTTAGCTACTGCACCAGCCTAGGACTTCTGCCTGATGAGTTTGGTTTGAAGCGGTTCAATCACTAAGACCAGGATTTAATGCCAGGGAAGTCATCAAGGAGGGCTCCCTAGAGGAAGATGTCCAAAGCAGTATGCTTCAGCTCATCAGCAAGCAGCTGTAGAGCACTGCAAAAACTTGATTAAAAAAGAAATGGCATGAAAGGAAAAGGCAGGAGTAATGAATCCAAACTACCATGGCACAAAAGGAGATAATAACCAGATGCCATTCAGAGGAAGAGCCCTCAGATGGTTTACCAAAAATAGGTATGTCATAGGTAAGCAATTACAGATGGGCAAAGGCAAGAGTTAGAACTAATTTAATGAGACTAAGAATATATAAATGTACATTTACACATACATACAACATTGGGAGCTGCTTCCATAAAGGGGAATTGGGGTACTGGGAGGGTGAGGTGCAGGGTGGGAAGACTGGAAGATAGTCTTTCAGGATGCTTGGCTTTAACCTGCATATATAACCTTTCCAAGAATGTTTTATTTTTCTTAGCATGGGCCATAAAAATCTTGTTGGAAATGGAAAAAAAAATACACCATCCAAAGACAACATGACAAAGTCATACCAATCTTCTCACACTCGATAGTTTTCTAAACAAGAACATATTCTTAATTCACTCTCCAGAACAGTCCTATAATATCGTGCACAATAATTACTACTACGTAGATAGTTATATATGTATTTTAAAGAGTTACTTCATTTTTTTATTGGAAACGCAGATATGCAGAGAGAAGGAGATACGTAAAGAAATCTTCCATCTGCTGGTTCACTCCCCAAGTGGCCATCAGAGGAAAGCTGATCTGAAGCCAGAAGCTTCTTCTGGGTCTCCCACTTAGGTGCAGGGTCCCAAAGCTTTGAGCCATCCTCGACTACTGTCTTAGACCACAAACATGGAGTTGGATGGGAAGTGGAGCAGCCTGGATTAGAACTAGGGCCCGTATGGGATCCCAGCAAGTGCAAAGTGAGGATTTAGCCAGTAGCTATCACGCCAGACTTTAATTATATGTATTTTTAAAAAGGATCTCAACCTGGTATATTTCAAATATCAGCTGATTTCAGATTTCCTGTTACTTTTCCTAGAATTAGAAACGCCAATATGGATATCGTTACATAGTCTTAAGTGTCTTTTGCATAACTCATTGTTACGGAAATTTTATCGCCTTTTAATCAGAATTTCTCTCAGTTTCTAACTCTGGCTAGGAAAATGAATAGAAACACACTATGGTAAGAGATGCTTTGGACACAGTAGGACCTGTGTTCAGACAGAAGGTTATTTGAAAAAAAGCCCAAACTGTCATTTTTTTGGCAGATTAGCCTCACTACTGAAAGTCTATTTTAAATTACTGCTTTTCTGCTAAAAATGTTTTGAAACATTTTCATGAAAATGTTTGACACGTTTAGTAATTAGATGTGTTGATATCAGTTTCCAGGTGAAGGATATGTCCCCCACTCCCACACCTCATCCTTTCCGTAGAATATGTTCCTCCGTCACCCTTCATAGCACACCGTTGGAGATGCACATTTTGGGGTTATCACCTGGCACAGCAGAGTCCATCTTTGCTCTTCATAGCTTTACCCTGGCTACCTAGAGAAGCACACAGCCCTTCAACGCAGCCCAGGAACACAGATGCTGCCTGTAGCTCGGCCTTCGGAGGAACCAGGACTGTGCTGCGTGCAAACAAAAGAGAAAGTCGAGGAAAACATCCAGAAGAAAAGTCATGGCTGGGAGAATTTCCTGCCTGTTTTCCTCCCGTCATTGTCCCTTGTATGAGTCACTGTTCTCAAATTGGAGGCAGCACTAATCAGGTTTTATCCCAGTTGCCTTTGAAAATCTAATAAGAGGCAGGATATATTAATAGTAATGTATTAATTAATATTAAATATTTGCACAAAAATCTATTGTCATTTATTATGGTAACATGATTACAGCCTATTAAACCACCCATGCATACTTGCACTTGACTATCATGCTGATTAAAGTCATCTCCGGAAGGCTGTGGGGGCTGCTGAGGGGATTTGTGACAGTGTTACATCCTTTCAGAAAATGGAGGCACCTGAGTATTAGAGAGACCAATATTTTTCTAAGATTATCTGGAGCTGTTTGTTGGTTATGGAAACTCGGGTTTGCTTTTAAAAGGAAGAGAATGTTGAGCTCTTGCTTCCCAGCTCCTATTATACTTGCAAAGCTGGCCTTCCAAAGTATCCATCATGTGCATCCTGCCTCTCTCATGCTGATAAGTGCACCCCTGTGGCCAGGAAAATGCATCTGACAAAAGCCAAGTTTCTTTCTCTGATTACCTGAGCCCTTTCACTTTCTCTCCCGATGCCCACAGGGTAAATTACCAGTATCTTTTTCACCTCTTTATTGCCAGCCCCAACTAGCAAGTTTGCCTTTTGTTCACTAGTCACAGTCCCTTGCTAGCCTTACATGGAGGATAAAGTCTGTGTACAGTCTCACTTTCCTGTACCAGACTTCCTGCTTTGTTGGCAGTTGCCTGTGGCCAGGCCAATCGTCATCCATTCCTAAGGACGGGGAAAGCTCGCGCTGAAGACGCACAGAGCAATGCCCAGGCTCCACTATGGACAGGAAAGCCACGTGCTTTTTAAGCACATCTCTGGCTGCATGCTGGAAGGCAGATGCTGGGACAAGGTGGTCATGGTGCCAAGTGTGGCAATGGCAGGAACAGCCATGTCCTCAGAGGCCAGTGCTGCCTAACTGACCACACAGTGTCCTTGCTGGGGAATGGAATAGCTCACCTGAGCATTCACACAGGAGGAAGCAGAAATTGATCAGGTCATTCCAAGCAACTAA